TTATTTTACTTTGATGACAGCCTGTTATTTTTTGACTGAAAGTTAGGCTGAGACAGGATTTCCAGCATTGAGACCGCCATCGATGGGACTCCAAAGCCCCCTGCAGGACAGATGGCTGACGTCACTCAGGCTTTGTTCATTTATATTTACAGATTATGTTTCAAACCACAGACTGGGAAAAAAACATGGACGTAGTATAAGTGATGTCATCAATTGGACAAGGTGTTTTGAAACTTACAGATGGCGGTCACAATATTGAAAATACTGTCTCGAACTAACTTTCAGTCAACATAGAAACAGGGAAAGACAGGGCTTGACATTATAACTGGCCTGGATGAATGATTGATAGAGTCCGGGCCAGCTGATCGCACGTTCAGCTGGCCCGCTCGGGCCAGTTAAAATACTGCCTGAAAAAAATAGACAGGAAATTTACACAAAATGACCGTGGTCTAGAAACGCTTACGTGCGATCAAATAAGCAGTGAGTACAGTATGTTATTCTAGTCCCTCAATTTAACAACTTTTATATGCGAGAGGAGGAGTCAGCCTGCCGTCCTGGCGATGTAAACAAAGTGAAGATAGGACTCGGAAACCTGGGAAAACATCTCATATTCTTCCTTTAAAGACGACCTAACCATTTCCTGAGAAGGGTGTGGTGTTCAAGGTTTTTTTTTATCAATCAATCAATCAAACTTTATTTATATAGCACCTTATATACCCTATAGACAAATTAAATTGCAGCTCAAAGTGCTTAACAAGAGTGCAGAAAAGTTGTTGACAAAAAGTAGAGACTAATGCACACCAATAAGAATTAAAAAAATATGTATAAAAATAAAATAAAATAAAATATGACACATAAAAGCAACATGACATTAAAATAAATACATGAGAGGAAAATATTTATATATATTATATAAAATGTCGTAGGATAAAAAAGACAATACAGTAATGTTAAGATTTGAATTGATATAAAACAGACTAATAAAAGCCAGACTAAATAACCTCAGGAAGGTTGTTCCACAGTCTCGAAGCGTAACAGCTGAAAGAAGCATCGCCAAAGGTTTTTGTCCTGCTCTGTGGAACAACTAAGAGAGAGGAACTGGAGGATCTGAGGGGCTGTACTGGTTCATAAACTAAAATCATATCTGATAGGTAGTCTGGTGCAAGGCCATGTAATGCTTTATAAACTAATAAAATCAACACGAAAACTAACAGGCAGCCAGTGTAAAGATTTTAAAACAGGTGTGATGTGTGCTCTCCTTCTGGTCTTTAGCAGTACTCGTGCGGCAGAGTTTTGTAGTAGCTGTAGCCGATTTGTTGTGTTTTTAGGAAGACCAGAAAGGAGAGCGTTACAATAGTCCAGCCTGCTGGTAATAAAAGCGTGCATTAGTCTCTCTGTTTGGCTCAGAGAGAGAAATGGCCTCACTTTGGCGATGTTTTTCAGGTGGTAAAATTTTGTTTTTGTGACACCCTTCACATGGACCTTAAAATTAAAATTTGAGTCAAAGATCACCCCAAGATTCCTTGCTTCTTGACTTGAGTTGAGTCCTATTTTTTGTAATTTGGGGGCCAGTTTCTCTCTCTGGGCCTTTGAACCGATGATTAAAACCTCTGTTTTGTCCTGGTTGAGCGGCAAACAATTCTGTGACATCCAGGCTTTTATATCTAAAATACAATTAAAAAGTGAGTCAATTTGTCTGGTGTCATCAGGAGACACGGCCACATAGAGCTGAGTGTCATCAGCATAGCTGTGGAAAAAGATTCTGTGCCTCCTGATGACACCACCCAGGGGTAACATGTACAAATTAAAAAGTAGTGGTCCTAAAATTGATCTTTGTGGTACCCCACTGGAGACTTTGTATTGTTTGGAGGTGCAGTCTTCTATCGATACAAAACATTTTCTGTTACACAAATACAAGGTGAACCAGTTAAAAACATTTCCGGAAAGGCCTCCATGCTCACTTAGTCTATCTAAAAGAATCTGGTGGTCAACAGTATCGAAAGCAGCACTGAGGTCGAGTAGTACCAGAACAGAAGGCTTGTTGTTGTCGAGGTTTTTTCTGATATCATTAACTACTTTTAGCAGGGCCGTCTCAGTGCTGTGGCGTGCCCTAAAGCCAGATTGAAACATTTCTAATGTAGTGTTTGAGGTTAAAAAGACACTCAACTGATTAAAAACTAACTTCTCTAAAATTTTGCTTAAAATTGGCAGGTTTGAGATGGGTCTAAAATTACTAGGTGTTAAAATATCCAGGTTCCCTTTTTTTAAGAGGTTTAATTAAGGCAGCCTTAAAATCGGTAGGGACGACACCTAGCTGTAAGGAGTGATTTACTATGTTGAGGACATCTTCTGATACTGAATTAAAAATGGTTTTAAAAAGGGGTGTTGGAATTGGGTCAAGGGAACACGTGGATAACTTCATTTCTGTTACCGCTGTTCTGAGTGTTGCAGCATCAACCAGGGCAAAACTTTCCAACTTGACATCACTGATTGTACATGATACTGGAAAAAGTGCTTGCTTTGCTGACAGATACCAGACCTAATGTCAACTATTTTATCCCTGAAGTAGCCAGCAAAAAACTCACATTTAGATCCTTAGAGCACTGAGCTGTTATTGGTTGTGGGGTGTAACAGAGAATCTATTGTCCTGAAAAGATGTCTGGGGTTGTGAATGTTGCTGTTTATCAGGTTTGAGAAATATTCTTGCCTTGATTTTCGGATCGCTTTGTTGTAGTCTTTTATTGCTTCTACTAGTATATTTTTATAAATTTCTATTTTTGTTTTTCGCCATCTGCGTTCAGCAATTCTGCAGTCTCTCTTAAGTGCATTGGTCGCATTGTTTTTCCATGGAACAACCTTTTTTGTATTTACTGTCTTAGTTGTGATTGGAGCAAGCATTAAACACTGTCCTCAGTTTATAATTAAAATCGGTAACAAGTTGTTCACAGGATGATGGTAAGGTGGTATTTCTGTAAGCTGTAAGATGTGATCTAAGAGTTGTGGCTACTTCAGGGGTAATGTGCCCTTTGTTAACTGTACGTTCTATTGCATCTGGAGGAGAGTGATCAAAACTGTTAAAAAACACACAATGATGGTCAGACAGAGCCAGGTCAGTGATGGATGAAATATTAATGTTTAGGCCATATGATATAATCAGATCGAGGTGTGTCCATGTTTGTGAGTCGGTGTATTGACGTGCTGTTTAAAACCCATACATTCTAATAATTCTAACAACTCTTTGGCTCTGGTATCTGCCAGACTGTCAACATTTACATTAAAGTCATCAATTAAAATACAAGCATCATAACTCAGATCAGAAAACTCTGTTAGGAAAGAGGAGAAAACTAAGTTGGGGGCTCTGTATACTGTCACTGCCAGAATATGTGGCTTACATTTTAAAAGTGTTGGATTGTAGAGAATTTATGTTTATGGGAACTTTTACCAGATTATTGAAGATTGGACCCTTTGTAGTTCTATTGAAGAAGTGACGGGTGGAGATGATGGTTTTAATAAAATCAAGAGCGGTAGAAGGGGTAAGAGGTCATGGAGAGATACAATGCACTATATTTTGGGCGAGCATCTGAGAGCCCCTGTGGTTTGGATGAAGTCCATCACGTTTGAAAAACGCTGGACGGCCCCAGAAAACATTGAAATTGATAAAAGGTGACCTTAACCTTATCACAGATGGATTTTATCCATAAGTTGAGCGAAAACAGGCGACTGAATTTTTCAATGCCTCTTTTGCGAGTTGGAAGAGGTCCTGATATAGCAATAATCAAAGTTTTGAAATGTTCCTTTAATATTTCGGACTCCCGGTGAGATGTGTCGTTGCTGCCGATGTGTGCCACCACAGTACTCACGTTACAGTGCTTTCCAAGCACGGCTGGAAGGGTGTTGAGGTCTAACACTCGGGCTCCAGGGAAGCAGTGGACCGCTGCAGTGGTTCCGTGGGAGGTGAGCGAGAGCCCCCGGACGATGGAATCCCCAATCACCACAGTGGAAGCAGGCGATGGTGAAAGTGAAGAGGTGGGTGCTGCTGAGTGACGCCGGTCGGGGGGATGAGTCTGAGCTCAGAACCATAAAACGGTTTTCCAGCCTGAGCTCCGGACGAGATGGTAGGGGACGGAGGATTTCCGTCCGTCCTCCTCGCCGTCCTCTGTCACCCACCCACTTCCATGGGTGTTCCCCGGGGCACGGAGTGGAGCAAGAGCCGGCTGTGCATCCCTTTGGCAGGTGCAGCCACGTCTGTGGTCAGCGGAGGAAAGTGCTCCTCCGAGAGAATTTCCATACATGGCTCTTGAACCGGTAGAGTCGTTGCAAAGAGAGCAGAGTTTTGTGTTCCCAAACTGGCTGATCCGATTAAAACCGTAGCATTAAAAGTGTCCTGAAGTTTTGATGTCTCTTTTAAAACAGTGTTTAGCTCTGTCATCTGACGAAGCTTCATGTGCATTTCAATGAGCTTCTCCTGTAGTTCATTTATTCTATCGCATTTAGCGCATATGAAATTGTCTGTAAAATCCTCAGAGCTGATGATTAAAAACATTTCACATAGTTCACATCTTTGAGCTCTTTTGTTCTCCGCTGTAGCTTCCATTTCAGGACAGGATCCACACAGGTAGCAGCAGGTAGGCTACTCAGAAAGAAAATTGGTCGGCCTTGTCTTGAAGAGAGGCGCAACAATAATTTTTGGGGAAAACGTCCACCTTGCAGCCCAGACCTGTTGGAGTGGAATTGGAATTTGGCCACCTACATGACTCGTTCTTCTGATTGGATCGTTCTTAAAGTCCCTCAGACTTTTTGCTTGTTTTACTGTGCTTGTAATCTCAATATATCCATCATACAATAAGTAAATGACAAATAATGAATAATAACACACCAGGTTATAGTAACAGGTTGTTTATGTTTCTTTATCATGCATTGTCTGTGTACTGTTCTCAATGTGTGGCAACACACTTTGACAGCACGCCAAACTCCGTCCAAAAAATGCAGAAGAGTCAGGATTCATCTTAGTTGTCACTTTTAATAAGATGTCGTTGCAGATACATTTATGAAGCAAGAGTGAAACTGTAGAAAACATGAACTATAAAAAAAGAAATCAATATTCAACTGACAAGTTAGCTTTAGCTTACTGCTTTATACTATATGAATTTCCAACTAATCAAAAATGTCTTATGACATGTATGTATTCGTATTCAAGCATGATGCGCTTCAAATAAAATATACTCTTAACAATCTATGTCTCCTTTTACCCGATATCAACTTTAGATGTTTCATTTTCCCAATAACCACATATGAAAAGGTTCAAAGCATTTACCTTACAAATATGAACATATATGATTTAAATATCAGGTAACAAAACAGAATACACTTACAGATGATGCTTTCACAAGCTTAAATGAAAGGATGGTAGCAGATGCGACATACGTCTGCTCCTGGATCTGCATGCAGAGAAAATGGCCTCCTTACAATTAACTTCCTGTATAAACAAGCTAATTCCTGTTCTGACAAAACAACCACTAGGAGGTGCTAAAACACTGATAAAGGCATTTAACAGCCTGAGGAAAGACAGTCTGCCTCAGCAGTGAGACGGTCTACATGTCGTTAATGTAGTCTTCTCCGAAGGTGACCATCTGTTTCAGTGCAGTCAGAATCGGCCTGCTGATGTCGTCACTCGTGTTGATTTCTGACTCGTAGTTCTTCACCAGGAAGATGGACTTGATGGGAATTCCCACCGTCACACTGAATTTTTCCACCTGTTGGAGTCAAATAATTTCAGATAATCAAATTGCAAAGCTCAGACCAAAGGTGGAAATGTGATGAAAAAAAATAAATGAAACTCAACAATAACAAATCTAAACCTGCTCACCTGTCCCTTCAGGTACTTGCTCTTGTGCAAGTTGTGAATATTTGATCTGACCTCAGGACAGGCTTCATCAACTTTGGTGAGGATGGCCAGTTGGGGAATTCCTGCAGATGTGGAAACATTTTCAGTATTTTAATCACTTGTTTTTTAATTTGCCTAATATGGAAATGTAAGTGTGTGATATCTGTTCTTACCCAGATCACTGGCAGCTAGTCTGACTTCTCTTAACTTCTGCACGACTTTGTCATCTAACAGAGAGACTGAGTCGACAGGAACCACACAGACCAGCACGTGGACTTTGTCATCCAGAGAGGGGTTGGAGTTGTAGCCCGGGTTATTCTCTGTCAGTGGGCCATAAGGATTGAACTGAAAAACAAAAATAGACATTCTAATAGTATTTTTCAATGCACAGAGCCGTGAATGTTTCAGTGAATAAAAAAGCAAAATGATAATTCAAAAAAAGAAACTCCAAGGTGCCCTGTTAAGTCTTCTTACATTTCCTAGTAAGGAGCAGTTTTATTATGAGCTGGTCCTCATTCTGTTTATTTATGGAAAAAAAAAAACTCATTGCACATGTGAGACTCATTCTAATCAATGGTTTGAAACACTCCTATCTGAAGTTGGCCATAATCCATCATTAATGCAGCAATAATAGAGGTGAAGAGGAGCTGAGGCGGGCCTCAGAGAGTGTTTCTAAATCACTCCTCATCTAGGATTCCTTGCTAGGATCTTTTAAGATAAACTAGAAGCTGTGTTAGAGCATTTTCAGATTATTTTTGGATATGGGCCCAGGGCTTTTGCAGCGTGCCTCTGGTGGAAACTCGAGGAACTGCAGGTTATTGCTGTTCTGAACACCAGAGGGTGCTGCTTGCATTAATTTAAAACACTTGTTGAAGTGAACTCCACAGGGCCCTTTAAAAAGAGAAGAGAACGTCTTAGGAGTGTACCTTGTAACCCTCTCTCACATGTCCCCGCAGGGCCAGTTTGATATCTTCCACATGGACTCCATTGTCGGCGTTATTCTCAAGGCCCATGATGTCGTTGAAAACAATAGAATATGGGCTCTCTTGATCTTTTTCAATTTTGTATGTTTTGTACTGTGAAGAAGGAGAAATGATTTGCATCGTTCAGGTAAATCTAAGATAGACATTCCTAAAGCAACAAAATAATTATTTCATTTTATTTAGCGAGATAATCTACATTGATCAAATTATTATTTATTTTATTTTAAATGTTCTTACTGAAACTAAGCTGCCACAAAATCATAATGTTTTTCAAGTAATTGAGATGAAAGGGCAAAATCTGCCACGTTTTCAGAAACTGCACTCTTCAAGTAGCTAACTTCATTATTTTTTATTATTCTTTATTATATGATGTAGATCAGCAGTCATCAGTTGTTCATACCTTTAGGGTGAAGCTGCTCCCCAGAGGTCGCATCCGTCTCAGCTCGATCTGTAACAATGCCTCTCAAAACACTTTCAACAGAGTTTATGAAACTGGACTTGCCGGCACCGACCGGTCCATGAAGCAGAATCCTGAGATGTTTGACTTCTTTCTTTCGAGGTTGGTAAGATTTCAGAAAGTTGAGATTGTCCTCAGTGCTCCTGTTGGTAGAAGAACATGAGATTCATTACTTCAGTGTTTTAAATATTGAATGTTCAACAGGCACATTGTTATTGATGCTCTGCTGAGTGGCAGAACCACACCCAGTTTCACCACCCTCACTTCCTGTTTACTCACATCGGCAGAGTCCTCCATGGCTCACTGAAAAGAGCTGAAAGACAAATTCACATGTTAACATACAGTAAGACAACTTCAGACTATTTAAACAATTTAAACAGCATCATGTTTCACTGAATGGTAATATTTGAACGAGAATCATTTTAACTACATGTGGAAAAACTTACGAGAAGGTGGGGGTGGGGATATGAATGGGGGTGGGAATGGGAATGGGCGTTGCGGTGGGACTGGGCGTTGGGGTGGGAATGGGAATGGGAATGGGGATGAGGATGGGGGTGGGGATAGGCCTGGGGGTAGTGCTCGGGCTGGTTTGGATTCTTCTCCTCCCATATCTGAAAAATATAACAGTGGTGTGTTAATGTGGATGACTTTACCTCGATAAAGGAAGAATATTCAGATCATAAACTCTGTAAAAATAACAACAATGAGGAATACAGCTTTGCAAATGAATGATGAAGTCACTATGTACTGATTTGAGTAAGAGCTCAAGCCCTCAGTGCTCATTATTACTGTTTTAGTGTATTTCCAACATTTTTCCAAACTGTTACCTGTGTGTAAAATACTCATGGCAGTTCAGTTTATGAGTTACAGAAAGTTTCATTGCTTGATAAATGTAGTGGACTAGAAGGTTCATTATTTCCCCTCTGGACTGCAGCGGAGTAAACACATGAAGCTGAATACATTTAGATATTCAGATAAAGTATCTCAGAACTTTTATCTGATTTTTAATACATGACCTCAGTATGTGGTGTTAAACAAGTTTATGGAAACATTCAGTAGATCATAGATTTATCTTTAAATTCATACATCCAGCTGTCATTGGGTGAGAGGCGGGTCACACCCTGGACTGTTCGCCAGTCAATCACAGATTCTGACATTTAGAGACAGACAACCAGCCACACTCACATTCACACCTACGGGCAATTTAGAGCCAGCAGTTAACCTAACGAGCATATCTCTGGACTGAGGGAGAAAGCCAGAGTACCCAGAGAGAAACACTTCCCCAGGGAGAACATGCAAACTCCACACAGAGAGGGGCCTGATCAACAGGGATTCAAACCAGGAACCACCATGTGCTAACCACTGCACCACCATGCAGCCCATTCAATTTATTCATCAGTAAAAAAATAAATAAATAAATAAACAGTTCATGTGAGAGTTGGTTTGTCAAAGTAACTTTTAAATAAATATCAATTCCATGTTCACATCATTCAAGAAAAAATAAACAAAGAGAGAAAAGGAAAACTCAGCAGTACAAAGAGTCCTTTATAAAAAAGAGATTTATCATTATAAACATCTTGAAGTCTAAAGCAAACTGACGTCAATCAGATGAATAATAAAATCATAGAATGAAGAGAGTCTTACCTTTTCTTGTGATGCTCTGGATGCTCTGGAGTGACTCTGCAAATGTGCAGGCTGGTCGCCCTTTTTATAGGATAGGGTCTCTTACTTTCACTTTTGTTCTTTTATCTGTTTCTGGTCAGCCACCAGACTTCCGAGGAATGACCGTTCAGATCTTTAGTGACTGTTTTTTTTAAGTGTGCAGGTTCATCAGAATTTGCACAAGATATAATAAAAAGGAAAAATGTATCTTTACTGACTGACTATATCAGTCTTTGCAGATACAGCAGTGATAGCTAAATGTTTTTTTCAGTATTTATTTATATTTACTCATTCTACCTTTCCCTCTGTGTTTACCTGTCCTCATCACCTGGCTCTTACATTCAGCTGACCCCACCTGCCCTTCAGTGTCCCCTTCTTCCTCTATACTCATCCACTTGGCCTTTTTCTTTTTTTTAACATGTCTTTATGATTATGCATCCTTCATGTATTTGATGCTTACTCAGTTGTTTCAGCTTTTTGCAACATGTCTTTTTTTTTTCTTTGCAATGCCTTTTGGACGTTTCTTTAGTTTCATGCTTCTAAATTCTGCACTTTTAAATTTGCTGCAGGTTTTAATAGCAAGTGCAAATGCTCGTCTGCCAACGTACAGAAGACACAAGGTGCTTGATTCTTTGATTCTTGAAGTGCTTGATACTTATACAAACAAGTATCTTTTCCTGCTCTTGTTTGGTACAGTGTATACAAACTAAAGTCATCAAAGTAAAATAAATACAACATTTCTTACTGATAAATGAAGGCTGGAATAATACATTTTATTTTCTGATGATTAATGAATAAGTCATTTATTACAGTAGACATTAACATGGTTAAAAAAAACAAATAAATTGATCCTTTTTGATTTTATGAACGATATGTGTTATCCATAGTTAGACGTGTAAGTCTAAATGTGCTGACATGATTGACAGGTGGGCACGATGTAACGGTTTGTCATAAGGTTAAAACCCGCCTCAGCTCCAGCTCTCAGCCTGTTATTATTTTGACTGAAAGTTAGGTTGAGACAGGATTTCCAGCATGGAGACCGTTATCGATGGGACTTCAAAGCCCCCTGCAGGAACAGATGGCTGACGTCACTCAGGCTTCGTCTATTCATATTTACAGATTATGTTTCAAACCACAGACTGGGAAAAAACATGGACGTAGCATAAGTGATGTCATCAATTGAACGAGGTGTTTTGAAACTTAAAGATGGCGGTCACAATATTGAAAATACTATCTCTCACTAACTTTCAGTCAACATAGAAACAGAGAAAGAGCTGGAGCTGAGGCGGCTGAAGCTTCCGAACAAACACAGACATGTATGCATCAGCAGGGTGCAGGTCTACATGTAACTTAGGTAGTCTTCTTCGTAAATCACCATCTGTCTCAGTGTGTCTTAGTTTGTTTCTTCACCAGAAAGTATGGTTGATTCATTTTACTTATTTCAATTCTTTGTTTATTTGTATCATGACAGCTGACAAGTATTGAGCCGTAAGTAAGCCGTTGCCACACACTTCAGCATTTATAGACTAAACAACCTTGCAATGCCCTTATGAAGTAAATATTCTGACATGTTTTATGGAGGAAAAGTTTCACCAACATATTGCTGTTCTCTGAACTCCCTGACTTGCAAAATTCTAACAACCCCCCTTTAAGTTTTGGTTGTGCACACCAAGTCATGTTAACTCATAATGAATACAGATGTCTTATCTGAAAATGTGATGGCACTGTGTGAAAACATTATCTGATTGTTCTTAGCAACACTTGACAACAATTGTTAATCTTTAGTATAGTACCAATCTGGTTTTGTGCAACGTGTCAAAGATATTGTGACTCCACCACAGTTTTTACAACGGGTTTGAGATAAAGGAATATAGTCAGACAGAAGCTGAAAGTTGTAAATGATAAGCCTAGGTTTTGTTTACTTCTATCTAAACCTAAAAGTAAAAATTGATCATTGGTAGGTCTATAGATCAACAACTTTGTTACTTTTAATAAAGACCATCAGATCCACAACTTCTGGGGCGCTGGTGGTGCAGTGGTTAGTGCACGCTCCATGTATGGAAGCTGTAGTCTTCCAAGCGGGCGGCCCAGGTTCAAATCCAACCTGTGGCTCCTTTCCCGCATGTGTCGTGGATTTTTCTGTTTGATGAATAAAAGGTCTCAAGGCAAGCCGTTTGTCCTGTATTACAGCTAAACAGACCTAAATGAAGAATTACCCTATAAGCTGGTAGAGAGATGTAAATGGCATATCCACAAAATTACCAAGATGAATAAATTCATTACGTATAGCTGCATTTTGCCAATTCATTGTTAATTGTGCCATTTTCTCTCTCGACTGCTCCTGCACTCTGTGGATGATAAATCAATTATGATGATAATATCAGAGTAGTTTCAAGTCTTCCCTTGTGAATGCTGGACCATGTCACTGCAGAGGTTGCATGGATTATCCCACTTTATTGGATCTGCTCTGCTTACACTGTGATGTGTCTGCATCTCCGTTTCATACGAGATTTGAGGTCCAATTATTTTGAAACCCATTTTGTGCTGCAGAATTCATAACGATCATTAATCATTCTTACATAACCATCAAATGTGCAAAGGTGAAATTTGAAACGTTGTATCGAGGACAGACAGGATATCAAAGAGGGTTCATGTCCAACCATCGGAGGTTTTAACGAGTCTGACCACTTCATCAAGAACACTGATAACAAAAAGGACAATAAAGTGTGAAACATGAACACTCCGGATGTTTCTTTGTAGTTCAGTCAGGAATACTCTTGTCATAGATGTAACCTTATCTTCCACTTGTGGTTTGTACAGTTGTATTTGCTGGTATTGGTTCTGCTCTTAGCTCTCAGTAGTATCAGTGCAGCATGCCACAGAGTTTGCTGAGAGCGCAAACCTTTAATTCCCCCCATTGGGACATGCAGAACAGAACCTGAATGTGCATGTAATTATCCTGACATTTTGCAGACATAACAGGCAAACAACTCATCCTAGAATATAAAGTGTGCTGACTGAAGCTGGTGGAGGTTAGGGTAGTGGAGGGAGTATTTCACAGCAGTGTCTAGCAGCAGAGTGGATGTGATGCAGGAGGAGTGAGAGGCAGAATGGTTTAAATCAGGGATGTCAAAGTTCTATTGGGCTGGGGGCCGAATTTGTTCAAATGAGACCTCAAGTGGGCCAGACTAATTTTGCAGACATCACAATAACTTGACACATGGATATAAAGGCTAATGTATGATTTAAAAAAAAGAAAAAAAAAAAACGCATAAAATGTAAAAGTACATTAAGCAGAGGGGTTAACTCTGTCATTGCAAACTGCATGTTGGCACATGGAAATATTTAAATGTACCACATTACAGAAGAAAACATCAATAATTATGTTTTGTTTGAGATTATTATATTATGTTTTAATATGAGATGAGATGAGATGAGATTCAACTTTATCGTCATTACACATATACAAGAAGTGCAAAAATCTGTGCTATGTACAAGTGATTACAAAATTTACAGATGTAGACTAAAAAAAAGTGAATTATTGGGTATATATGGCTGGATTAATGGGATGCTATAAATATAAATAAATGCTATAAATATAAGTATATTCTTCAGATTATAATATACAGATTAAGGTGCAGTGAGCATGCTATACTAGATTACAGATAATATACAGAATATGGACATATTGTACAGGTCGATAACTTATTGAGGTGATATGAACATACTATAATACAATAATACAGGTGGATGAGAGATGTGTGTGTATGACCAGGAGGACTGGTGGGGGATGATGGTTGTGAGGTGATGTGCAGGGGAAGGGGGGTCAGCGGGGGGCGGAGTTCGGGAGGGAGACAGAGTTCAGAGTTCGGGGGTCAGAGTTCAGTAGAGAGACAGCTCTGGGGAAAAAGCTGTTCCTCAGTCTGCTGGTTCTGGTCCGGAGGCTTCTGAAGCGCCTACCGGAGGGCAGGAGGGCAAACAGTCTGTGGGCAGGGTGGGAGGAGTCTTTGCTGTTCAAGGTTATACAAACTTTGACACAGGTTATTCTACCTGCCCTGGGATCAGTGCATTACTAGAGAGAGAGAGATACTTTAGATCTGTGTGTGTCAGGCCACAGCACAGTTTGCACTCGTTAAGCTTCATTACAGATAGAACCTGCACGTTTTTCAACAAAGTAAACTCAGTTAAACGACCTTTGATACGAGTCTGGCAGTCCGTTCTTCTACGTGTCCGCAATATCATAATCTAACTCTTGTCACTGACTTTTTATGCGCCAGGAATCTGTGCCATCCCTGTGCGCAATTCGAGGAAGCATTTTAGCGCTGCTCCACGGTTAAACCAGCAGACCTCTGTATGATCGGACAGCCTGTGCGTGATATTGTTTTCAGATAAGAATGAAATGTTCAGTAATAGTTATATTTTTACAGTCTGATGAAAGCTACAGCAAGCTACTGCATTTAGAAGTGATGTCGCACTGAAACTATTAGGTGATCAACACAACACGTTCACCTCTGGGTGACCTAAAAATGAACCATCTGTAATTAAAATCAGTTATTATTCATTTTAATTTACTGTTTTTACAATAACCAGAGGTAAAACTAGTCGGGAGATGCATCAGGCTCAACGCCGGTGTCCACAACCTACACTTAGTCTGGATGTGAGGAGACGGTCTGGGCCTTTACGCAGGACGGAGATGATTGTTTTTTATTTGCACGAGCTGCTCTTTGTGGCTCACTCCATAGGAAGCTTTGTTATCTCTCACATGTCCCGCAGGGCCAGTTTGATATCTTCCACATGGACTCCATTGTTGGCGTTATTCTCAAGGCCCATGATGTCATTGAAAACAATAGAATAGAAGCTCTCTTGATCTTTTTTCGATTTTGTATGTTTTGTACTGTGAAGAAGGAGAAATAATTTGCATCGTTCAGGTTGATCAAAATTGACATTCCTAAAGCAACAAAATAATTATTTCATTTTATTTAGCGAGATAATCTACATTGATCAAATTATTTTTTATTTTATTTTAAATGTTCTTACTGAAACTAAGCTGCCACAAAATCATAATGTTTTTCAAGTAAATGAGATGAAAGGGCAAAATCTGCCACGTTTTCAGAAACTGCACTCTTCAAGTAGCTAACTTCATTATTTTTTATTATTCTTTATTATATGATGTAGATCAGCAGTCATCAGTTGTTCATACCTTTAGGGTGAAGCTTTTCCCAGAGGTCGCATCCGTCTCAGCTCGATCTGTAACAATGCCTCTCAAAGCACTGTCAACAGAGTTCACGAAACTGGACATCCTGAGATGTTTGACTTCTTTGTTTCGAGGTTGGTAAGATTTCAGAAAGTTGAGATTGTCCTCAGTGCTACTGTTGGTAGAAGAACATGAGATTCATTACTTCAGTGTTTTAAATATTGAACGTTCAACAGGCACATTGTGCACACATCTACGGGCAATTTAGAGTCAGCAGTTAACCTAACGAGCATATCTCTGGACTGAGGGAGAAAGCCGGAGTACCCAGAGAGAAACACTTCCCCGAGGAGAACATGCAAACTCCACACAGAGAGGGGCCTGATCAACAGGGATTCAAACCAGGAACCACCGTGTGCTAACCACTGCACAACCATGCAGCCCATTCAATTATTCATCAGTAAAAAAAAATAAAAAAAAATAAACAGTTCATGTGAGAGTTGGTTTGTCAAAGTAACTTTTAAATAAATATCAATTCCATG